TGCTTTGGACTGTAGCGGTACCTGTGCTCTAATTGAACTCTTTCACATAGTTGGCGTTCGCCAACTTGTAAGACTTTAACGTGAACAACGAAGTGTCTACTTGGAGGTTCTTATTCACATCGGCAATTGCGTCCTAGATGTTGACCTTCGTTGAGAAACAGATGTGCCCGCAAAACCTGCGGAAGTTGTGCGCTGAACTCCTCAAAAAAGGCACTGAACTGACAGCCGCAGAACTGGGCGACTTGGAGGAGCGGAGTTTGCATTCGAGGTACGTCTTCATGTCGTGAGCACTTGTTTTAGCTCCGCGTACTGGCCAACTACGATACGCATGTCGAGCGTCTTCACGCCACCGGAGCTGAGAGAGGAGGGTGACTCGTCTGGGTCGCGAAGGAAGCGAAAAACCTCCTCAGCCGCCATGTCTCCAGCCCTGAAGGCACCACGACACTCCTCCTGTTCCTCAAGCCCACCAAACCTGCTTCCTGAAGTTGTCGACTGCCACCACAATGAGTCTACGGCGCGTGTACGTTTACCGGCCGCATTTATTGTTATTCTACAAACTAATTTCGCTTCTAAATTGGTTGTTCAACTTTGTAGACCCATTCGACGTGTGAACGAAGTGATTTTTGTGAGTTGGTGCCTGTCTGTGCCCCGTTTTTTGTTACTCTAACTGGAACTTCCAACCAATTCTGTTTTCTCGGCCACTCCAGACACTGGAACAATTGACCTTGAAGCCGAGCCAGTCACGTCGCCCCCAGGTGAACGTTCCTCCTCGTCGTCGTCATCACGAACGAGGCCTGTTGGTGCCGGCGACTCGCCATCCTCCCACCAGACTCTGTCTCCGGCATCTACCGCGTCGTCCCGCAACTCCTTGTCGCGAAACACCAACCGCGCCAGACGTAGGGCGTCTCCGCCCTCTCCATCCACTCAAAAGACGTCAGACAAGCCGTCAAGGCATCACTCAACCGCGGTCAAGTCTTACCCCCCCGCAACCCCGTCATTTACGCCACCCATACGAAAATCCGTTGGTAGACCGGTACGTGACAGGGAATCACCGTGTATAACTTAATTTTTAAAGATTTTTCAGCAAATTTATTGAATAATATAAAAAAGTAGGCAACAACGAGCGTAACCTTGGAAATATTGTCAATCGTCTTCTTTAACTGTGCGCCATCTCTCAGCTAACGTACGATCACCGTCACGACATCGACGACAACTTCACGCACATCGTCCGGCGTTTTAGGAACTGTTTATCCACTAAGGCGTGACGCTGCTGCTGCTGCTGCATCGACCGGAACGAATGGTGGTTGGAAGGGGTGGGGGCCAAGTCTGATGAATATCCCCGTGCCAAGTTCATGAGGGTCTTCTGAGTTGCGTCTTTTTCGCTAAAGTTATTTTTTCAGTTTGTTCAACTGTCGGCTGTAGCGTTCTGCAGCCACCGGCAGACCAGTTTCCAGGAGGTCGTAATGAAGTACACCCGTCAAGTCCCACCAGCCACACAGGAGAACCTTCTTCAAGCGGATGTCCAGTTTTGGCGTCGATGTACTGCCTGGTTGGTCGGGGTCTACACACGATCCTACGTTTTACGTTTGGGATTCTCGTAAACAACATACATTTCATCACGTGTCACGATTTCCCACAATAAGCCCGTTCACTGCTTGTTGCTGGCGGGCATGCCGTGAAAGCTATGTGTTCATACGTTGACGCAGGAGGTAATGTTCGGTCAACATGCGAGGGGACCCAAATTCCGAGATTCTTAATTTTTTCCCACTTGGCGCAGACATTTAGAAATAGCGGTTTGGGTAACGCCTAACTGCCCTATTGCAAGCTCTTGGTGCGTCTGCGTTGAGTCTTCATCCGGTAGAACTTGCACAATTCCGCATCTTTCAACTTTTTGTGGCTGATATTCGGGGCGCGGCTGGACGCTAAGGTCGAAATCACCACTTCTACATATTTGGTTATGAAACCAACGCAGTCTTGTTGTTCGGTGTTCAAACGCGATGAAATCGTCAACTTTGTGGAGCAGATCATCACAAATTATGGGGACTACTATCCATCGTTGTCTGTGATCTTGCGCCATCTTTCAGGCAACGCACGAATGCCTCAAGGCAATAAAGTCGTCCGCGACAAATTCACGCACATCGTCCAACGTTTTAGAAACTGTTTCTCCACTAAGGCGTGCTGCTGCTGCTGCATTGACCGGAACAAATGGTGGTTGGAAGGGTGGACCAAATCCCATGCCAAGTTCAAGAGGGTCTTCTGGGTCGCGCGGGAGATGTGAGGTGGTCGAGCGTTGTCATGCAGCAGTGGCAGCAGCAGCAGTATGACTTGTCTGCTATCTCGTCCAGTAAATGGCCCCTTCTGATTAAGCTCTTTGCTCAACTTGTTCAATCTTCGGCTGTAGCGTTCGGCAGTCCCTGTCTGACGACCCACAAGATACGCAGGAGGACCTTCTCTAGGTGAATATCCTGTTTCGGCGTCGATGTTCTGAGTTACCCGATATCTATCGACGACATTTTTCCGTTTGGGATTCTTGTAATCAGCATACTTTTCATCACGCGTCACAATTTTTCACAATAAGTCCGTTCACTGTTTGTTGCCGGCGAGCAAGTAGTGAAAGCCATGTGTTTATACGTTGACGCAGGGGGTAATGTTCGGCAAACACATGCGAGGGGACCCAAATTCCGAGATTCTTAATTTTTTCCCACTTGGTGGAAACACTTAGAAATAGCTGCTTGGGTGACTCCCAACTGATCTGCTGCAAGCTCTTGTTGCTTTTGCGTTGAGTCTTCGTCCAGTAGAGCTTGTATGATTCCACATCTTTGAGCCTTTCGAGGCTGTTGTCCTTGTGCGGCTGGACGCTAAGGTCGAAATCACCACTTTTGCAACTTTGGTACCTACAGCCACACCTTTCATGAGACACAACTTCGGCAGCACCAGAAACACTACACATTGTTTTCCCCCATGCTTTGGAAGCAGCGTTATTTCCTTGTTGGAATTCGTATAAAAAGCAGTACCGCCGAATGTGCTGTTTATCAGTTGCCATCGGCGTAAACTCTGCTATTCTGTGAGGTTGTGTAACTCACGTAGGCTTGTCGTTCGGTCATGTGGAACCTTGCGTGCGATCCTTTCAAAACCACTAAAGACCGCGAAAATATAAATTTACCTTTAGTATAATTCTAGTGTCGAAGATCTGTCGTTAGACGTTTCTGTTCACTTATAAACGCGGCGTTAATGCACACTTGTGATTCTCGTTGGCAGAAGGCGCTGTCACCGACGACGCGAGTTCGTCGCGTTGGCCGAAAGCACGTCTCGGCCAGTCCGTCGCCCGCGCGTCCACCGACAACGCCGACACCGCAACCCGAGCGCGTCTACGCTGAGGATGCCTGGACCTTCTCGGGCTCACTGACGGACAGAACACCCCCGAGCCAAGTGGTCGCACAGGTGAAGCGAGCCGCCCACAATGCCAGGGCCAAACTCCTGGACACGTATGGCAAACGGGGTCAGCAGAGAATCGTCTACCTCGATGTAAGTCCGGTGGTTAGTTGACGCCGCTTGGGTTCACACGCTAAGTTGGCACTTACGCAGGCATTGGGGGTCCTTTCAGACGAGCGTTCCTGGCAAAATATCCGCTAAGGTGTGTCCCCTCGCTGCCACACAAAACGCCTCCTCCGCCCAGACCCTCCCTCCCGAAGACTCCTCCACCGTCGAGTCCAAACCTGTCAACTACCCACCTGCATTGCGACAGCTGCTCACTGGACGCCAGTGCGAGGTGTCGTCAACGGCGTCTGCCAGCAACCAGAGCTACCACGGCCTCATCGAACAGATGACCTCACAGCAGGTCGCCACCCTCCACGCCCTGTCCACCCTGCGCTACGACCCCAAGGAGCCAATCGCCATGGGCATTCACGGACCCCTGGCCATATTCAGGTGAATTTTCCGCTCTTTCACACCGCTTGGTTTCTCGTGGAATCAGCACTCGACGCCTGCTCTTTCTTACCCCACAGCAAGGACGAATTGGCCCAAATGTATGACGCCTACGGCGGTGACTCTCTTGCCCTGGAGTACATCCTGTCACTCCTCTCGTACGTGGAGCCCATTGGCCCCTCGGCGCGGATTTGGGCGCACAAAAAAATCGATGCCGCTACTGGCGGTTACCACGGCAAGTTGGTTGCCGCTTTCGCGAAAACCGACTCTGAGTTCCACTCGAACAATTGGATACGACGCGCTGGTCTAACGGTCAGTACACACCTGCTAATGAGGCTACAGCTGGTGATTGATCCAACTACTTGAATGCCTCCTTTTTAGCTTGACTCGGATCTCATTGCTGAATTCATTCCAAAAACGGACGCAAAGGACGAATCGGACGTGGTGAAAGACGAGGAGCCGACTTCGCAAGTTGAGGTATGATAATTCGGTACTAAATCGATTCGTTAATATTGAGGAAAGGTTAAGCAGGTGTCTTCTTCTTTTAGGTGGACAACTTGAGCGTAGGGTCGGACTTGCAGCCGCTAGAAGTGGAGGCTTGTGCTAGCGGTGAAATGTCAATGGCGAAGCTGCCTTCAAACACGTCAACAACCACCACCGCCGTGAAACAGATGGCGACAGTGCAGCCGCTGCAGCGACACGAATCCGCCGCCAGCCAACCTGATGACCTTATCGCTCATCTGGCAGCCGCCCCGTGTATCTCCGAAATGCCTCCACCTACGTCTTCTCCACCTCCTCCTCCCCCTCCGTCTCATCCACCGGCAGTTGAAGCACCGCAGAGTTGTGTCACTGGAGAGCAGTTGGCATTCACCGACGCAAACCTTTCAAATGAAATTTTGGCTGAAATTGAGACATCAACCGCACTTTCCGCATCACTCAACCTATCTGCCACGAAGGACGAGGAGGAGCAGGCTTCCAATACGAGTGAATCCGCTGCTGATGAGTCATTTGACATCTTGTCAGCTGCGCTTAACGCCTCGACAACACCCGCTTCGGAAGACTACGTAATCAATGCATACAGTGTGGAGGGCAACGGCTCGGAGGCCGGTTCAACCACGGAATTCCATCAGATCCCACCTGTGGCAGTGCCTAATGAGGGTCTTGTTCAAGATCCGCGTGGGTTCCCGACTCAGGGGGCGGCTCAACCAATCCTCGCCTTGAATAACTTCTGTTTGATATCGCCGCAGGCGTCAAACGGCGCATTGGCTGCGTCGGTCAGTGAGATTGCTCAGATATCGGCGCTGACTGCGGCAATCAGTCCAATCCAATCCGTGCCTGCTCCGCTTCCAGCGTGCGTCAGCGTGCACAAGTCGGAGTCCACTTCGGATACTGAAACCTACTGCACCGAGGAGCAACGACAGGAGGGTTCGTCAGGTGACAACCCTGACACCACCCTCCCTGACTCAAAGGAAGGCTCTACACCTGAGTCTGGTGGCGATCATGCTCCAGCTGAAGTCAGTGATGAGTTTTCTGCAGTCCCGGGCACTGAACAGGCAAGGCCACCTTCAGAGCTTGGTGACGTGAGCCCCAGCACTCTGCAGGCAGCAGATGAAGAAGAAGGGTCGCGTAGTGCAACCTGCGATAGTAGGCGTTGCACAAGTCCTTCGATGGAGCCTATAACGACGGCAACGCCGCTGATTGACTCCGTACCACCGTCAGTACTCGTGGTGGATGGTAAAGACCAGTCAAGTTTACTTGAAAGTGATTTGGATACGTCGGTGTTAGAAAAGTCCCAGAACAGGAGTGCTGATGTTTCGGTTTTGGCACAATTGAAAAGCGTTCCTATCTCTCCAGAATGTCCAGAATCCACGAGTGAAAGCAACTTCTCAGAGATCCCTCATCCAACAGGACTGACCCGACCCCCCACCGATTCCGAAATTTCAACTGTGGAGCCGTCTAGTGTAGTGTCGTGCGAGGATCAGTCGCCAGAAGGCAACACTTCAAGCGACACAGCACTGACGAAGGTTCACTCCACTTTGGATGTGACGTCAGGTGATGAATCCGCCCCCTTTAAAATCCCACTGCTAGAACCGTCGAAAGATGGCCTTTCGCAAAGCTCCAAGGCCAACACACCTGATTTACTTGCACCAGTCACCACACATGCTTGTCACTCAGGACCTGTAGACGTTTTCCCCGATGCTGTAGTCGCACAGGTCGCACGAATTCCAGGAACGGAGGTTTGTGACGCGCAGCACACCCCAAGCACCAACGACACGACGCGACACCAGCCAGGGGTTGTTTGTGACACTTCACCTAATCGAGGTGACGCGTGCTCCGAGGTCCCTGCCGACACGATCGACGAACCTGATTCCACCAACAACGAACTCACCATGGCGGAGACGACCCAGTGAATAGGCGTCATACCCAGTCCTCTGTACATTTGCACCAACACCATTACTTAAAACCTCTTCATTTAGCATTTTTACTTGTTTCGGATAAAGTAAAGACTTGCATAAACCAAAAACCGAAATTGTCCAAACCCAGCTAAAGCTTGTTGCCAAAAATTCGAAGTGTGTGGTTTCAGAATGTACTCTTTTGCATAAACATCAGGGTAGAATAGAAAAGAGGTGACACAAGCGCCACTAATATGCTTTACAGATGGTGGAGGTGTCGTCTTCTGAGGCCGGCAAGTTTGTCCAGATTGAGGAAATAGACAAATCACAGACTGCGCTTCAACGCGACGAGGAAAACAAACTTGGGAAGCGGGTTGTACTCATTGGGGTGCTATTTAAACTGCGCGCCGGTTCCGGCCGCAGACAATTTGGGCTTTAGTTCCCGTACACGATTTCTTAGGCGTTCAAAGTAACGGAGCCTCGACAGGGCGGTGTGTGCAGCCGCCCAGTCCTCCTTTTCGATGCAAGCTGACACGGATGCCATTTCCTCGTCCCATCGAGACGCTATCTGGGAGTCGACCTCATCAGCTTTCTCTGGTGATTTGGATAATTCATCAACACGTTCATTCAGCTCCATAATTTCAACAAGAAACTCCATGTCGGCAGCGGCCATGTCAACTGACGAGCAGGGGCTGCCGTTAAGCGTGAGAATGTACTCGGCTCTTGTGATGGGACAAGAGAGCACCTTGAAGGCATCGTTCACTTTCGCCGAAACACTCGCGGCAATCTCTTGTTCTTTCCTCGAGGACCGGGTAAATTTGTCTGGGTGGTAGGCTTTTTGCAGATTGCGCTTCTGACGCGCAAGGCTGTCCATGTTTATGTTCATTGTGGGCTTCGTGATGCCGAAGAAGTCAAAGTAATTCCAACTTGGGCTGAGCTGTTGCAACTTGCCGCATTCACAAATAAACGTTTGGCAGCTAATGCGCTTAAGGCAGTTCCAACAGTCACGCTCAAGGTCTTTCGGACCTGGAAGCTCACTCGTGGATGCAAATCGATAACCGAATAAATGGCGGAAATTGAGCCACTCAAGACGCTTTAATAAATTCATGTTGCCAATGGGTTTTCAGCGAAGTATAGTCGTCCTTGACGGCTAAAAATGATGTTTCAACTATTAGCTAAATGACAATTATTGCCAGAAAAAATATTTCTAAATTACTGGCTAGGTGCAACCACATGTGCAAATCCATAAATCTACCACTGTATAAAACTTGATTAAGAATCAGCGTTAGGTTTATGAAAGATACTACTATATTTTATTTATAAAAACAAACCAGATAATAAAAACTGCGAAGGAGCTATTAACTGTTGAGTGGTGTGATGTTGTGGCGTGGTGTGGCGTCGGATTAGGGCGCAGACATGTTGGGCCACCTGGCCTCAGCCAATACCGTGTCTCTCTGCGATCCAATG